TATCTTCAAATCAAGAAGAGGGGAATAAAATAATGAAAAAGAAAAGGAAACCTCAAATAATCCAAAAGAATGCAATAAAGTAGGGAAAAAAACAGAATAAAGTGAACAAATCAAAATTATAAAATAAAAAGATTGAAAAGCCATGTGAGGCTGGGCATGGTATTGCATGACTCTAATACCAGCTACTCAGAGGCTGAGGCAGGAGGAAGTTGAGGCCAGCCTGACCAACTTAGTGAGACTCCATCCCAAACTGAAATTGAAAAAGGCCTGTGAGTGCAGCTCAATGGTAAATACGCTCTTACCATGTGTGAGGAGGCCCTGTGTTTAACCCTTAGTATTTTTAAAAAAGCCTATCAAGACTTACAGTAAATGAATAAATATAACAGTTAAAGGATAAAAAATTTTAAATTAGATTTTTTAAGTTATAACCTGTTTACAATGGATACTTGCAAAGAAAATATTTAAAAAGTAAAAGTAAAGCAATAGAAAAGACATACCAGGTAAATACTACTCAAAAGAATACAAATAAGCTATATTAAGTAATAACAGCCAAAATGTACTTGTTATGGTTTGTGTCTGAATGTCCCCCCAAAGCCTCACGCAGTCATGGGGTGGGTTTCTGCAGTTTATGACTGATTCATGGGTGTGAGTGCTACATCCACCCTGGGGCAAGCAGTTTGCATACAATGTAAGGGAGGGAAAGAGGCGGCTTGCCGCCACTCCTAGCCTTCATGCTTGTTGCTTTTGCTATCTTCTGCCACCGTGAACTATTGCCCTCTGCCATGTGCCACTCTGCCTTGGAGCCAGTTGAGCATGGACTGAAACCTTCAGAAACTATGAGCTCAATAAACCTTTCCTTCCTTAATTCTGGGTGTTATGTATTTTGTCTCAATAATGAGAGAAAAGTAACCAAAACAGAATCTGGTACCAAGAGTAGGGTTGATGCTGTGACTGTACCTGACCACGTGGTTCAAGAGCCTTTGGAAATGGCTTGTGGGAAGAGTTTGGAAAGGTTCGGAGATGCTGTCTGAAAGAGAAGCATTGGAACACCTTTGGCTGTTCTGTATGGCAGATTCTTGTCAAAGCTCTAAAGACTAGAAGGCTGATAGAAATCCCACCAGTAAAGACCAGGCTCAGGATGTTTCTGCTGGGAAGGATGGCATTGGTTGCTGGACTCCAGATGATGTATGTTCTGGCTTGGAAGTCTGCATTTTGATCCTGTCCCGAGACTTTGCCTGAGACTGAGATTAAGGGTGGTGGACTAATCAATCTGGCAGAAGAAATTTTAAGGCAGTCTAATGTTGGGGCAGTGGTATGGCTATTGTTGGGGGCCTTTAGCCAGATTTACGTTAAGAATCAAGAGCAAAGATCCCAGCAGGATGATTTAAAACACTGTGAGTTTGGCTAGGAAAAAAGCTCCAGTAAAGCTGTTGACTGCAAAGATAGAGTTGAGAGGAGATTTTGATTGCTGAGAAGGAACAGGGGATTATAAAAGATAGCATGAGGGCATCAAAAGAAGAAGCAAGTCTCCACCCTTTGCAGCCTCAAACCTGCAAAAGTGAAAGACTTTGCTTTAAGAAGAAAGCCGCAGAGTGCCATGTTCCAGAATGGCAGTGGCAGCTGCATCAGGTTCCAGGATGGCGATGGCATAGAGAATTTATTCCTCAGAATCAGGTTCATAGTGCCCAGTGATCCAAGCACTTGACCCCTACATCCAAGAGAAAAGAAAGCCTGGCTACTACTCCAGCTGGCAGAAGACCTTGGCATCATCCACATGGCTCTGGTTTTAGGCGCATGCAGAATGCAAGAGTTCTGAGGTTAAGAAGGTTTCCACCTAGATTTCAGAAGGCCTGGGAGGCCGGGCAGTGTGTCCCTGAGAGGGCAGTGTGTGAAGCTGTGAGTGTGAAGTGAAGGGTGCAGTGGAGACCTCAGAAGTTTGGAAAAGCCAGGAACGTGGATTGTCTGAGGAAAGCTGCAAGGAGGGAGCAAAGTGGGCTCAAGACAGAAGTCCTTGAAGCTACAACCACCAGAAGTGCCATAGGGGCAGAGTCACACAAGCCCTTTGGAGCTCACAATTTACCACAGGTTGCTTCAGATGTTCCACATGGAACTATAGGACTTAATGTTTGCCCTGCTGGATATTGGACTTGATTTGGTCCCAATGCTTTGTATCCTCCTGCTTGTAACTTTTTTTTTTTTGGTTTTTCTCCAGTACTGGGAATCGAATTCACGACCTTGTGCTTGCCAGGCAGGCGCTGTGCCGCTGAGCTAAATCCCCAGCCCCACTTGTAACTTTTGGAATGGTAATATTTATCTTGTGCCATTGAATGTTGGAAGTGTTTAACTTTTCATTTGTACAGGGGCTCACAACTAAGAGTTTGCCTTAAATCTCAGAGGAAACTTGGGACTTACACTTTTTAGCAATGCTGAAACTGTTAGGACTCTCACAACTCTTGAAGATGAACTAAATGCCTTTTGCATAAAGGGATGTGCATGAGTCTTTGGGGGGCCAGGGTGGAATGTTATGGTTTGTGTCCAGAAGTCTTCGAGTCTCAAGCCATCATTAGAGACAGAGGAGTACAAATTATACTCAAGGGTTTAATTTGAGTGTGCACACCTAATAACATAACCTGAAAAACTGACAGAAACACAGGAGAAATAATAATTTTCCCAATAAATAACAGAATAAACTGACAAAAAATTAAGAAGCATATCAAAGATATCAGAGTATCATTAAAAGGCTTTATCTAACAAGCATGTATATAGAATATTTTGTTTGACAATTGTAAATTATGCATTTTTTCTAAGAACAAAGTGACTACTTATTAATACTGATATATTTCAGGCTCTAAGTCAAGGCTTAACAACTGGTATCATATAAAGTACATTCTCCAAAATCAGAATGCAAGTATGTCAGAAATCAATGAAGTAGAAAAATACTTATGCTTACTTATTAAAAAACACACTTCCATTGGATATAGTGGCACAGGGCTGTAATCCCAGCTCTTGGGAGGCTGAGGCAGGAGGATCACCATGAATGTGAGGCCAGCCTGGACTACACAGTGAGTTCAAGGCCAGCCTGAACTGCACTGTGAGATCCTGTCTCAAAAACACTAAAGGAAGTTTTAAAATATATAAAAATTAATTAAAAAGCCAACCTTCAAATAAAGAAGGAAATAAAAAATGAAAGCACAAAAAGCCTTGAATTGAAACAGAACAACATATAAGAGAGCCTTGGGAAATGTTACTGTAACTTCTGCAGAGTGAATCCATAACAAAAGAATAACATGAGCAGCAATGTAACCATACATTTGAGAATTTAGGCAAAAGGGACAATTTACAACCATAGTTAAACTGGGTATAGTGGTGCACATCTGTAATCCCAGCTACTGGGGAGGCTAAAACAAGAGAATCCCAAGTTCAAGGCAATCCAGGGCAATTTAGGGAGAATCTTTCTCACAATAAAAAATAAAAAGGAGCTGAGGCTGTAACTCAGTGCAATGCTCTGAGCTACAGTGAGTCTCCAATACCGAATCTCCAATATTGAAAAAAAAGTCTAGATCATATTTGTATCTTTAGACTATTTCATAATACAAATTTTAATACATGCTTAAAATTGAGACTACATCATAATTAAAACAAAAAAGTCTTACCATTTATAGGCAGAGAGTCTTTGTTTTTAACTTCAAAACTCAGGTGACTGAGCAGAAAAATTGTGGGTTTTTTTTTTTAACCCACCGCAAAGACAGGAAACCCCACCTGGGAGCTGTAGGCGCCTCAGAAGCTGACAGTGCTGGCAGTTCAGGAGCAGGCCAGGAGGAAACTGCACACTTGCCCCAGATAGAACAATGAAGCATCACTCATTTCTGCCTAGCTGCCATTCCCACGATGCTCCAGTGTCCACAGGTTGTCTCCCCCTCCTACGTCAACTATCTGAATGGATGCACATTTTCCTGCCTTCAGGATAAATCATGGGCCTGGACATATACCTGTCAGGGACTAATCTGGGTAGCTTAGTTTTTATTTTTATTTTTTAAAATTTTCTGTGGTGCTAGGTATTGAACCCAGGCCTCATGCAGGCCAGGCTGACACTCCACCACTGAGCTATATCCCCAGCCCAGTGGTTTGTATGTTTTTTTCTTTTGGTATTAGGGATTGAACCCAGGGCTTTTACACTGAGCTACATCCCAAGTCTTCTTTCTATTTTTTTAACTTTGAGACAGGGGCTTGCTAAGTTGCCCATGCTAGGTTTGAACTCATAATCCTCCTGCTTCAACCTCCCAGAATGCTGGGATGTGAGGCATGCACCACCATGTCCAGCCTACATGTTCTTTTTAATCCTTACAATACAACCAGGTTCCCTAACGCCTGCTTACAGATTAATAGATCAGCAGAGGAACTGGATCACAGGCTCACTGTTACTCAGATAGGGCCGAGGCTCCAACCCAAATCTAGCTGATGCCTCCCTTCACCCATGTTTCACATGGGGGTCCTTGGAGGGAAATCAGCCATAAAGCCACAGCAAGTGCAAGCAGGCTCTGACCAAGCCCAGCTCACCACCACCTGTACGAAGCACCTACCTTCTGGATAACCTTTCGTACAGCAAAATACTTCTCAGTGAGGTCCCCTGCCTCGCTCAGTGGGGCATCATAGTCATAGCTGGTGGGCTGTGCTGCATAGGGTGTGTTGGCCCCTAGAAGACAAAAATGTGCCACTACTTACTACTGAAGGCCCTGCCTTAGGCTCAGAATTAAGGGGAGGAGAAATAAGGACACATCAGAATTAATTAAGATGCTTGCTGTGATAGTGCATGTCTCTAGTCCCAGCACTTGGGAGGCTGAGGCAGAATTACTGGGAGTTCAAGGCCATCCTGAACTATACAGAGAGACCCTGTCTCAAGGAAAAAAACCCGGGTAGAATAAATTGTTGAGAGACATTGAGGTGGTCCTCAGGGTGCAAATCCAGAGGAAGAAGTTTCTTCCCACAGGTGAACTTGCCAAGCATCCTAGAATTCACAAAGCACTCTTCCCGCCCACTTTCTCTTCCTGCCAAAGCTCACAGCTGTGATTCTAACAGACATCACTTCTACTGGACAAGCAGGAAACCTGAAGCCGACATGACCAGCAATGGCGGGGCTCATGATACAACCCACATTGCTGTCGCCCTGCAGTGTCTGATTGTTTTCTTGTCCTCACACTGTGTGGCTGAGAAATGGTCTTGTGGAGACACAGGTAACTGGGTTTGGGACCAGCAGAAAACTGAGGGCTTATCAGATGAAACAACGTAAGAGACGGCTGCAGACACACAGGAGCCGCAGAGATTCAAACACTACCATACGGCCTTTGTAACGTCTGCAGAATATAGAAGAGGCTGCTGTGGGCCCCTTGGATCCACGTTCAGGACAAAAGCACTTGCTCATCACCCTGGCTGCCAGGTGTCTTGGCACTGATACCTCTCAGATGGTTCTTCTCTACACTGGCCTCTGCTCAGTTGCCCCGTACAGGGTTACATTCCTCCAGGGACAGCCTGTGTCTGACAACTGACCAGAGTAGAGACAGAAAAACCAGCTCCCTGTGCTCCCAGGGCAGGCCCAACCCCACAGCTTGCTCTACCATGGGCTGAGGCCGGTGTGAAATCGCACCACAGCCTGACCTGGCTGCCTGAACCCCACGTCCCTGTGCTCCTCAACAGGCGGTGCTCCTGGTAGCACACCCAAGGAACTTCCTGCTGGGTCATCCCAGAATCTATTTCCCTGGGAACCTGACCTGTAACACAGACCGATGCATAGTGTCAAGACTGCATAAAAAGGCCCAGAAAAGCCAGTGTCCTGTAATTGTTGTCCAAGGGACAAGGTGTAGACCAGAGGCTCCCAATCATGTGATGGGTCGTGTTCACAGGGACAAAATGGTCTACAGTTCTTTGAAAACTCACCCATGCACAGGAGTCACATGGGAAGCCTGCTAAAACCTGACACCTAAGCCCCACTGCAGACTCTGCTTTAGTAGATCCAGGTGTGACAGACTGCATTTCCAGCAGACTCCCAGGTCAAGATGCTGCTGCCATCTGCGGACCAGAAAGGCTTTGTTTCCTTCTTCCTGGACTTCAGAGGGCACTTTGCAATGCAAGTGTGTGAGGATGCATTTATTTTAGGATTCATCTTTTGTCTGACCTAATATGTAAGTACATGAGGCAAGAAATATGACAGTTTACCCATAGTTAGCAATAAATTCCCTGGACAGAGCTCACAAATGATGGAGGAGCACAGGTGACCCTACAGTGGAGGAGCTGACAAACGAGGGAGGCTGAGGCTGGGGGCAGCCCCCTACCACTTTCTCACTCATTCTCTGCACTGAATCCCCAGTTTTAAAGACCTAGACCACCTAACCACTGAACTGATCAGACAACTCGGTCACAGGTCTGCCTGCCTCAGGAAGCACAGGTTACATGTTCCTTCCCATGACATAAAGAGAACCAAAACCACATCCCTTGCTGCTGGAGCTCACGCACCTTCTATGGGGCTCCGCTACCCCTAATGTGGCAGGGATCGTGCTGCCAGGCTTATTTCCCTATCTCACTCTGCTCAGCCGCATACATCTTAAGGAAGACGCTGCCTCACGCTTGAGTCCTCAGCAGAGCTGGGCACAGAGACACTCAGCAAAAGCTGTCAAGTTGAGTGGAGCCAGTGTGATCCAGGGACAGGGAACCCAGGCTGGGAGGAAGGCCAGTAGGTGAAAGGCTGGACTCAAGACCAAGCCTTTGTTGTAGCTCTTCCAGCATAATCAGTCAGTATTTCCCTCTCTCTCTCTCCCTCCCCTCCCCTCAGTGAGGCAGGGACTCACTGTGTAGTCCAGGCTGGCCCTGAACTCCTGGCAATCCTGCCTCAGCCTCCAGAATGCTGGGATTACAGGCATGGGCTACCACGCCGGGCTCTACCAGCACAATGTTACTGTGGATGTTTCAGCCCCGGATGAGTAGCAGCAGAGAGAAATGGAGCATATTTTAGCCTCCCTCGGCCACGTGAGAGGGTGAGCAAGGTAGGTTAAGGGCCGTGGGGAGACTGAGCATGCCTAGTTCTCCGTATCACGTGAGACAGTTTGGGTCCTCTAGGCAGTCTGGGTCCTGCAGGCAGCAGCCACTTGGCTGTGGAGATGCAGGTAGTGAGCAGGAGACACACCGCACAGGGAGGGGCAAGAGGGCCCCCTCCAGATGTTGTTCTCTCACTGCCCATCTCTGGGCAGCTGGCCTAAAGAACAGACTGACCTTGCCTCCTGACCCAGAGGCAGGCCCAAGAGGCCTGCACAACACAAACCAGCTGCGGGGCTGAAACATCCACATCCTGCACAACACAAACCAGCTACTTGAGGCTGCAGGCTGCAAAGGATTATCTCAGAGGCTCCCCCAAGCCTGAGCTTCAGTCTAGTCTCTACCCTTTGCCAGCTGAACAAGAAACGTGGAACATTTTTTTATCCCCAGATACTCATCTCTAAAGTGGTGTTGGGCATGGAGGCACATGTCTGTAACATCAGCTATCTGGGAGGCTAAAGCAGGAGGATCACAAGTTCAAGTTCAGCCTGGGCAATTTAAAGACCTAACTTGGTAAGACCTGCCTCAAAATTTTAAAAAAAAAATGTTTAAAAGGGCTGGGAATGCCCTCAGTGGAAAGGCCATGGGTTCAAGCTCTAGCACTGAAAACAACAACAATGAAATCCTACCCTACATGAGACTGTTTGAGAACTAAATATGAGAAATAGTGGCAGAACAGACTTCTATTGATTAGGGAGAGGGGAGAGCATAAAGGACAGCTTTCACTTTCTGAATGATAGTTTTTACATTGTCTAAGGTTCTTTTCTAAGAAGAATGTATTAAGAACAATAATTTTAAAAAAAAAATTGTGCTATGTGAAGTTGCAAAAAATACCAGTCTGTATTTCTGGATGGGTCAACCAGCCTATGGACACTGGCAGCTGGGTGGAATCCCTATATGCTCACAGAAAAGGTGTCACCAAGACTTACTAGAACCAGAAAACACAGAGAGATGACCTGAAATATCAGTGACCAACCCTGGCCCACTGTTGTCCCTTAAACAGTGACATCTGTGTTTTGACCTTCATTTCTTGGCTTTAACAATAGTAGTAAAATTGATAAGCTGGTAAGCAGTGTCCTTTCCTAGCCATTCCATCCTACAAAAACAGGCAGCATTCAAACGAGAAGCTGCAGTAAATTTATTTTTGTTTTTTGTTTTTTAGTACTAGAAATTGACCCCAGAGTCTTTACACTGAGCCATATTCCCAGCCCTTTTCTTTGTTTTTTAGTTTGAAACAGGGTCTTGCTAAGTTGCTAAATTGCCCGGGCTGGGTTCAAACTTGTGATTTTACTGCTTTGGCTTCTCAGAATGCTAGCATTAAAAGCATGCACTACCACTGCTATAGTGAATTGATAGTATCCAGTTTCAAATCCTGAAAGATTTAGCCCCGAACTGTGTCTCCAAAATGCAACGGTCAAGCATTCTCAACGATTCAGAGAGAAAAAAACAGATGTGGAGAAATGTGTGGAATACAACAAAATTTGTCTAATTGCAATACAGAGAAATTTGTCATAATTTTTCCTGCCAAAAAGAAAAAGTACAGGAATGCAAATGGTGTTGACCCAGAGTTATCCTATGACCTTGTGATTCCACGTGTAGGTACACATCCAGAAGAACAGGAGCAGAGACTCAAACAGATCAATGTCCTTAGCGACATTATTCGTAACAACCAAAAAGTAGAAATAACCCAAACGTCCATTAACTAACAAGTGGATAAACAAAATATTCTAAATCTTTTATCTTTTTATTTTAAAGATAAAAGAATCAAAACATATTAACACACAGAGACATAAATAAAACAACATAAAAACAATAAAAGCAATACAGAATTTCAGACAAGGTGATAGGAAATTAATGATGGTTGTACTACATATTGTTATCTTTAAACTGGTTACTCATATAAACAATTATAGGCATGTAAAATTGATCAAACAATTAAACATTAACTGTTCCTTTCAATAAAGCAGTTAGTAAATTCAATAAAGAAATTAGTACTACAATTATCTTAGCTATCGTGTGTATATATATATTCATAAAAAATGAAATACTAATATATGCTACTATGTGGATATGCCTTGAAAACATTGGGCTAAATGAAAGCAGATTTTTAAAAAACCCACACACTGTCTGGTTTTTAAACCAGAACAGGCAAATCCATAGTGACAGAGAGATTAGTTTATTTCCATGGACTGGAAGGAGGAAGAGAGGAGTGTGACACAAATGCGTGTGGAGTTTCTTTTTGGGGTGATGAGAACATTCTAGAATTAGATAGCAGTAATAGCTGCACACCTTTGAGAATATACTTAATATTCATTTAAAATTGTGAATTATATGAAATGTGCATCATATATCAAGAAAATGTTAAAAAAAAAAAAAGGCCACAGAAAATATATACACAAATACACTAGTAACAGACTATGACTGAAGCCTGCCCCGCTAGACTTGTTTTAAAACAACAGGCTGCCGGACGTGGTGGTACACACCTGTAACCCCAGCACTCAGGATGTTGAGGCAGGAGGATCGCCGTGACTTGAGACCAGCCTGGACTACACACTGAGTTCAAGGCGAGCCTGAACTACATAGCGAGACCTTGTCTCAACAACAACAACGGCAAGAACAGCGACAACAAATACATAAAGAACAAGGCTTTTAACTGCTCCTGTTATGTTCCTCAAAAAAAATTTTAGAGTAAAATGATTATATAGGTAATTCTTAAATATTAGAAAAGCTAGAAGATAATAACAAAATAGAAAACAAAAACTGTCTATAGGTACACTCCCCAAAACCGAGCATCCAAAGCTGCATAAATTTCTACAAACAGATGTTAGATTGCTCTTACCATTCCAATAGGCAAAGTTGGTCCCACCCATAAACATGTACCTACAAGGAGATGAGAGAACACACCATACTTAACTGTGAGTCCGCAGCTATTGAGGGCACCCTCCCTTCAGGCACTGTATACTTACATGTTTACATTTGCCCCGCGGGCGAGCATATCAGAGAGGGAGGAAACCACAGCCTCCGTCTTGACTGTCCAGTGCTGTTCGCCCCAGTGGTCTAACCAGCCGGTATAGAATTCAGAATTGATCTAAAAAGAGAGAAGAATGTAGAACTTAGGATAGACGTTCTAATGCTGAGGCATCCATCGACTCCACTGAGGGTCACATGGAAGGGGAAGCTGACATGTATTGCTTTTCCCAGAGCTGGGGACCGACAAAGACTTCCAGTAATTCCACTGCCCAAACCCAGTTCTCAGGTGCAAACCCACCATGGGACCTCATCTCACACAAGCACAGCCAGCCCTCCACAGTAGTGAAGTCAACCTCCTGCAGATCAAAAACGTGAGAAAAACTGTATTGAACACGTACAGATTTATTTCCTTGTCATTATTCTCTAAATAATAAATGACATTTAAATGACAACAATTTACATAGCACTTACAGTATTAAGCATCATAAGGAAACTAGAGATGAATTAACATGCTCCCACTGGCTTGAATCAATGGTGGCACATGCATGGCTGTCCCATTAGATGGTTTGTACCAGTCAATGAGACTGTCCCACACCACACAAATGAACAGTCATGCATGTATCACTGGTGGTTCACAGCTGCCTGGCGCAAGATGTAAGAACTACAGCCCTGTAGTGAATGTGTTAAACTAGTATGTAGGAGGATGTGTGTAGGTAATAAGCAAATACAGCAATGTTTTTTATAAGAGACGTGAAAGCCAGGTATGGTGGTGCCCGCCTGTAATCATACCACTCAGGAGGCTGAGGCAGGAGGACAGCCATAAGTTCAAGACCACCCTGGGCTACATAATGAGTTCAAGGCCAGTCTGAACTATGTAGTGAGACTCTGTTGAGAAAGAGAGTACAAGAGAGAGAGAGAGAGAGAGAGAGAGAGAGAGAGAGAGAGAGAGAAAGAGAAAGAGACAGAGACACTGACTTGACCATCTGTGGATTTTAGTGTGTGAGGAGGAGTCCTGGACCCAACCCCCATGGATGTTGAGGGACAACTATATTCCTAAAAAGCTTTACTTATATCAAGTTTGTTAACTATTTCCCAGGAGAAAACTAGTTGGGCAAAGCACTGGGCAAAATATTTATATAAAAGAATTAATCTAAGCCAAGCATGGTGGCACATGCCTGTAATCCCAGCACTCAGGAGGCTGAGACAGGAGGACCACTGTGAGTCTGAGACAAGCCTGGGCAACATAGCAAGTTCAAAGGCCAGCAGAACTACATAGCGAGACGCTGTCTCAGAAAAACAAAAAACAAACAAAAAGAATTAGCTTCAAGTTCACCTGTTGTGTGAATACGGACTTTGAGATCTCAGGTTGACCTGTAATGAGATAGATTTATCCAAGTAGTCTAGAAAGCAAACTCCAAAAATTTTATGTTTTTCTCTTTATTTTTCCTCCTCCAAACCCTTGTTCTAAAGAAGAAAATGAAATCTGGACGTGTCAGGTTCCAGGGAACAGCTCCACCCGAAGTCTGTGACTGAAGACTGCACTGCTCACCAAGCACAGCAGCCTTGGGAAAGCTGCGGGTACCAGGGCCTGCCCGGGGCAGGGCCCCCACACTAGGCTGAATGAACAGAGTCACCAGTGCTGAGCAAGGGAAGAGCAGAGAGCAGGACTAGCCGATCAGCTGTCCACACGCACCTGGACCTTGCCTGTTCCCGCCTCCTCCTAGCAGCTTTCAGAGCAAGCCATCAAGCCCTGCAACTCAAAGCGTGGGCAGAAAAACGCATCCTCAATGCCACTGACTGATACTGGAAATGTAGACCCTCAGGCTTCACCCAGACCCAGCAGACTGAATTTTGCATCTTCATCAGATCCCTAAATGATTCTTAAATATTTGAAAGTTGGAGAAACTCTGCCACAAACTGCTCTCAAAAGACGGCAACTTGAGCCAGACCCTGGCCAGCCACCGCCAGGCCGTACGACCACCCGGGGCAGTGATGTTTGTTTTCTGACCTCACCGAAGATGACAACATGTTCACTTATGGGAGTTGCCCTGGCCATTCATGTTACTGCCCATTCTGCACCACTGAAGCACAAGGCCTCAGTTCCAGATGGGTACACGCTGTTCCTGCTGTCACTCCTGAGTCCAGAAGCGCTATGTCCCCATAATCCCTCAGTTGCTGATTCTAGAGCCAGCAAACCAAGAAACTGTATGCCCCACCACCACTTCTGAGACGATGTCTTGCTACGTACTCCAAGCTGGCCTTTTAACTTATTAGGTAGCCCAGGCTGGCTTCAAACTCATAGTGACCCTCCTGCCTTAGCCTCCCAAGTTGATGTTCCCTTTTTCAGCCTGTCACTCCCTCCCTCAGCACTCAAGCTGGAGTTGTTAACAAGCCAACAGTCACACCTCATTCCCAGTTCTTACCAAGGGTCCTTTTGGCTCAGCTTTTCTCTGGACCAGGAAAGCTTCTGTGATGTTGCCGCCTGAAAATTACAGGAGAGAGAGGAAATGTCAGTCATGGGAATGCTGAGATGTAGTGAGCCCCTCGTGGGACAGGAGCCTGCAGTCCTGCTATGGTCTGAACGCTGGTGTCTCTCCAAAATATGTTAGTTGGAATCTAATCCCCAAGGTGATCGTAGTAAGTGGTGGAGACTTTGGGAAGTGACTAAATCATGAGGACTCTGCCACCATGAATGGGATTTAGAGTCCTTACAAAACAGGCTCCAGGGACCCTCATGCCCCTCTGCCACATGAGTGCAGCAAGAAAGTGCATCTCTTAGGCAAGGACTTGGAATTTCCCCACTGAGAGGTCATGAGCTGCCTCGTGTCAGTGAAAGAGTGAAGGCTGAGTGTCCACACACACAGAGCTGGGTCACCTTCCCATGGCAGGTAGGCCAGGGAGGAAGCAATGCCAGCCACAACCCTCCATTAAACCCCTTGCCTGGGGTTTGCCTTTGGTGTCTCTATAAAGCCAGCTTTCAGGAAAGAATGCTCTCCAAGAAAAAATAGAGTTTTGTTCACTGCGTGGCTGTAGTTCTCATTATTATAATATATTTTTTTGGTCCCAGGAATCAAATTCACAACCTTGCACTTGCCAGGCAGGTGCTGTGCCGTTGAGCTACATCCCCTATAATAATAAGGCTATAGTTCTTATTATTAAGCATGAGGTAGCACTCAGATCTTTAAACACTGTTCTGGCCTCATGAGCCTCGTCTCAGTAGCTGCCCATGCTCCTCAGTGGGCAAGGTCCTCTGTTACACGAGGGAAGGACACTGCATGAAGGTCAACCCACCTGCCACAGATACATTCACCTTGCAGTAGTCTATTCTTCAACCCCAGTAGGAACAGTCACACTGTTCCCTCATACAAATCACACTTACAACAAACTCAGGGTAATCTTTGATTTGTTCCTCCCAACAGGAAAGTACTGAGCTCTTTCATCACGATGACGGGAGGCAGCCAAAGCAGGAGGAAACCAGCATGCCACTTCCCTCGCGGCTCAGGGTAGAGCAGAAATCTCACTCAACACTGAGCAACGGGTCATGTTTTTAGAAACACTCAATTCACTTAGTGTCAGAAACATCTATAAAAATGCAACTTCAACACAGTGGCTCACACTCATAATTCTAGCTGCTGGGAAGGCTAAGGCAGGAGGATCACAACTTGAAGGCCAGCCTGGGTAACTTGGCAAGACCCTGTCTCAAAATATGATAAAAAGGAAGGGCTGGGGATATAGCTCAGGGGTAGCATGCACCATCCATGGTTTGATCCCTGGTAGTGGGAAAGAAGAAAAAAAAGAAAAACGTGACTTTAGTCTAATTCCCACAACTTAGTCTCTGGCAGGTCCCTCTCAAGAGGCAGCAAGCACGGGCTGCGCGATGTCCTAGAAGCGGCTTATGTCTCAGTGGGGGGCTGCCAGGGGATCTGTGCTACTTGCAGAGCTGGGGCTTTCTGGGGGAGGGGGTAATTTTTATCTTGAAATACTTTCAGTCTCATAGAAAGTTGCACGAGTAGTACAGAGAACTCTCCAGTTCCCTTCACCAAGATTCCCCAGCTGTTGGCACCTTAGCACATTTATCAGTTTCTCTCTTTCTATACAAAAATATAATTTTTTTCCTGAGCCAGGTGAGAACAAGCTGCAGACATGATGTCCCTTTGCTCCTAAATACTTCAATGTGTGTTCTCAGAGAGCAAGGACATCCTTTAGAAAGCACAATAACCACTATAAAGATCAGAACATTAACACCAATAAAACAGTTGACTCTACAAGCTCTATTTCAGGATTATAATTGTCTCAATAGTGTCCCCATGGCAAAAGCCAAACCAAACCAAACCAAACAAAAAAAAGGTGAGCCTCAGATCTTAGTTAGGATTATGTTCTACATTCATCTGCTCTCAACCTAAATTAAGAGTGACTTTTCATCCTAGCCACTGCTGTTCACTGAGAATTTTCATTTGCTGAATCTCTGCAGCTCGTGAGCCACGGCACCCGAGTCTGGCAAGGCACTTTCTGTAGCATGTGGCAACCCAGTCCAGCGCCCTCAGCTCACAAGGTCCTGAGTTATGCAGAAAGACAACAGAGGTGTCAGATAAGCTTCCTGATCTGAGGGCTGACAGGCTGCCACACCAGCCACTGGCTGATTTCTCACTTAGCCACAACACGGCCCCCAGCATCCTGCAAAGACGTGAGGACCCAGAGAATAGGGAAGGGCAGAGAGCAGCAGAGCGGGCCCCAGGCAAGGCCTGAAGGGAGAGCTTCTCCCAGCTGGCACTTCCCATGCCCTTGCTCATGCTGCCTAAAAGAGCACATTCCAGAGTCCAGGAAGGCTCCACCAGTGTGAAACACGAAGTTACTCTGTAAGCGCCTGTCCTTCAGGTCAAAGTAACACGATCTTCTGCAACTGAGGAGGCATAATTACTCTATTCTACCTGTTACTTAAAGCTATAATTTGCCTCTTAACTGTCCTCCAGAAGAGCAAGACATAGAAGAGCATGCCTGTAACCCTGGCACTCAGAAGACTGAGGCAGGAGCATCACTGCGAGTTCGAGGCCAGCCTGAACTACAGAGTGAGTTCAAGGACAGCCCAAACTGCAAAGTAAGACCCTGTTTCAAAACACCAAAAGCAAGCAAGCAAGCAAGCTCCCCAGAGGTCCATGTGTTGAAGGCGTGGTTCCAAGCATGGTGCTACTGGAAGTGGGGGAGCTCGTAACAGGCAGGACCTAGCGGAGGCTTTAGGTGACTGTGGCACTGCCCCAAAGGAGATGGTGAGACCCCCGTCTTTTGTTCTCTTTAGATTTCTGGCAACAAAATGAGTGAGCTTCTTCTACCAAGCACTCCTCCCATGACATAGCCACCTTACCACGGGCCCCAAAGCAACAGGGCAACTAACTACAGACTTAAGCCACCAAAACTATAAGAGAAAATAAATTTCTGTAAGTTGAAGAACTTAAGTATTTTGTTACAGTCACACAGCTAACTGGCACAACTGATAAAGGAAAATCTAAGAAGTGTCATCCAAACTGCCCAGGCCTCTTAAAACAACAGCTGATCACAAAGTGACTAAATGAGCCAAAAGCCAGTGTGAAGCTGCGCTTTCTGCTGTGACCAGCACTGACCTACTCCAAAGTCCACTGTGGCATAAAGGCCTTGCAGGGTCCCGCACCGCAGAAATTCTTCTTTCGCCCCATCAGTGGTGAACAGAAGTACATCGTCACCCAGATGGTAACGGAAGCGCGTCTGCAGGAAACGCAGGTAGTTATAGTCACAGGCAAAGTAGGAGCCATATTCATTTTCAACCTGTGAATTTAAAAAGAAGAGGAAGAAGTTAGGAGATGCCAGTGTGGCCTTTCTAGTGCAATCTTTGTGGGAAAGTATCTGTGTACCCACCTAGACAAAAAGCTAATTTTTGTCTAATGACACAAAATTAATGACACACAGCTAATTTTCCAAAAAGCAATTCAGCATAAAAGCTCCCCTTCTACTAACCCTCCCTCCCCCACTGCCTACCTACAGGAAAAAAAACCTCAAATTTTGTGGAGGACCGCTGGGATGGCTCTCCTTGAAAGAAGACCATTTGTCTCCATATTGGCTAAACCTTGCCCTCATTCCGTGTATTGATATGTACAGAGCTGGCTAGGATACTTTACCCCCTCCACTGGCTTTAAGCAATGCAAATGGGTCTAGGCAAGGTGCTGACTTATAGCCTTTGAAGCAATGCGATAGGTCAGTGACACCCCGCCTAGGCTCCCTACTACTCAGTGTGAGCTAGGCTGAAAGACTCCGTGCTGTCAGGTGAGACTGAGGCTCGAGAAAGAGGCCTGTGATGTCTCAGGACAGAAGTACTAGACACAGGGGCTGGGGAGATGGCTCGGTGGCACAGTGCCTGCCTGGCAAGCTCAAGGTCCTGAGTTCAGTTCCTGGTACTCACCCCTGCCAAAACAAAAAACAAAAAACCCAACAAAAACCAGAAGTGCCAGACATCCAAGCTGAGGCAACTGACCCCAAAAACCAAGATTCTTCCTCAAACGATGTTATGCCCTCCAAACTTAGAGGCTACCTGTTGCCAGAGCCCGGAATCCGCTACTCTTTCTGCACACTTCTCCCTGCATACTGTAGAGGTGCTACTGTGCCTCCTACCTAGCCCAGCTCACAGTACTCAGGTACTTCCTCCCATTTTCATAGTCACGCAACCTGGAGCCCCGCCCCTCTTCACAAATTAATAAAACCTGGTTCGGCCCTGGGTCGTGGCCTTTGTTCCAGTTAGCCTTTGTTCTGACTGGACTTAGGACCCCCTTGGCTCCCCACAACTGTAGATATGTCTTTGTCTCTTTATTCTCTGCATGAGTGCCCTGGAAGTGGTAGACTGGAGTTTACTTATTGCAATTCCAATAACTTTTCCCTGGGATTGTAAATATAAACTTCATGGGACTGCGACAAGGCTGGAGCCGGCTCTAGATAAATTCCAAATTGGTTTTGGGACTGTACTGATATTCTCTCCCATATATACTCACTCCTATAACAGATACTTTAAACATCATAGCTAATACTTTGGATGGTAGAAATGTTAGAAAATAAGAGAAAAATGAAAAGACAATGGAAAAATCATCTGCTAACTCTGTTCACAGATAATCACTGTTAAGATTTTAGTATATAGCCTTCCAGATTTATACACACCAAATACACAGTGTCTTTTCTAAAAGAATCATATTTTTTGTACCAGTTAGAACAGCTTCCTTCCCCTTAATATGTTACACAAACCATCCAAGGCAGTAAGAAGGGTGAATGCTGGACATGAATGGACCACTGTTTATTTGATTATCTGCTATCAAACATCAGGGTAGTCTTGGTTTTGTTTTCCCTTACCAACACTCAGTTTGTGCTCAACAACATCAGAGCTTCTAAACCAAGTACTCTTCTGCCCTCCCCCAAGAGACAGTAGGGAATGTCTGGGCACATTTTGGATTGTCTCAACTAGAAGAGCGGGTAGCACTAACGGCAGCCGGTGGGTAAGGGCTACAGATGCTGCTGGACATCTTCTGGCGCAAAGAATAGTCCCGCAAGTGACTAGGTGTAAAACAGCAATAGTGTGGAAGCACATGTTCTCAGCAAGGGGGACAGCATCCCCAGGCAATGAAAACAGACTTATTTTTTTGTTTGTTTTTTGAGACAGGGTCTCACTTTGTAGTGCAGGCTGGCCTTGAATGGTCTCAATTCAAAGTGATGCTCCTGCCTCAGCTTCACAAGTGCTGGGATTACAGGTGTGCACTACCATGCCCAACTGAAAACTGATTCTTACTGGACAAAAAAAAAAAATGTATTCTCTTCATATACAAAGCACATATATAGACCAGGTATGGTGGCACATGCCGGTAATCCCAGCACTCGGGAGGCTGAAGCAAGAGGATTGCTGTGTGCTCAAGGCCAGGCTGGCCTACATATTGACTGATAGATAGATACACAGATAGATAGATAGACAGAGAGACAGATCTGTAATATCCAAAGAATTAAAATTTTTATCGATGGGGAAGGATAGGCAATAAAAAAAAGTTTTGGCCACTGGGTACAATCGTATATGGTGGCCACCTTCACACTGCACTTCTTTTCCTATTTACTCAGCCCAAACTCACTCTGAAGAGCCTGTTTCTTTTCCTACCTTTAATGACAACAACAGCAACAAGTTGAAAAGTGTTTCATAGGGAAAAGGAAAATAAAAAAGAAGAAACATAGTCCTCAGACAACAAAATGAAATTTAGCTCTACCCAACACACCAAAGAATCTTAGAAATATAAGGTGGAACAAAAGAAGCACAACACTAAAAACCACACACAATATAATCCTCATAGACAATTCAAAAGCAGTCAAACTACAAAGTCTGAGCATACACAGATGTGGTAAAGCATTAAAGCAAAGCAAGGCAAAGTGCTGACGGTCATCAGAGCAGGGAGTGGGAGGAAATGGGCTGCAGCAAGAAGGCCCTGGGAAGCTGCTGGTGCACTGGCGGGGTGCTGCTTCCCATCCTGGGATGTGGTCATGATAGGGAAAATTAAAATTTTAAATAAAAGCCTGTCCAGGATGCCTGCCAGGACCAAGCAGGACGTGTCCAGCAGGCCTGATAACAGAACACTTGTCCCTTTGGTGTAAACCTGTCTTTCCTGCCTTTGTAGCTGATGACCTTGTAATGTAACGGGACACCTCTTCCTTTGTGTAACTCATGCGTGTTTAACTAATGGCCTTGTAATGTAACTGGGATATGGAAACTCCTTCAGCAATCCATGATGTCACCCAACCCCCCAATCATATGCTCCAAATCTATGTTCCTCTCCACTCACTTTCTCTTTAAATGCCCTAGGGCTGGGGATATAACTCAGCAGCACAAGCGCCTGCCTGGCAAGCGCAAGGTCCTGAGTTCGATCCGCAGTATCAAATAAATAAATAAATAAATAAAAGTCCTAACATCCTGCCGGGCGCGAGGAATCCTGGTCAGCAGCCCACCAGTGCAATAAACTGCCTCCTGAACCTCCTCAGCGCTGTTTCTTCCTGACCGGTCTGTTTTCCCCAACAGTCACGCAGGTGTTCAGTGTAATGGCTCATCATATTGCGTGTATGCGTGGTGCGAGTGCGCAAAAGTATCCACCCATGAAATTTCAACCTGCAAAAATTAGAAACTTTGTGATCCTGGGGAAATTATGTCTGCAAACATATACATGAGAAAGTGTGAGCCCCTAGGAAGGAGGGGTGAGCCTGAGTGGAGCCAGGAGAGACTCCAGAATGCTCCCTCTCTGGGTCGTCTGGAAGTGAAGCACCTAACTGGGGAACAGGAGAGGGAGAGGGGGCTCAAAGCCACCAGTAGCTTGAGCTGGCCCATGTGCAGAGCTGGAGAGTCCGGGAAGGAATGGTGAACAGCAAAAATGAACTAAACGCCAATGTTATAATTCGGGTTTGAAATGCCCCCGAGAGTCTGTATGTTAAAGGCTTATACTACACAGATACAATAATTTGGTTAGATTTTTTTTTAACATTTGTTTTGTTTTTGGCCCTTGGGACTGAGCCCAGGGTCTCATACATGCAAAGCACATGCTCTACTGCTGAGCTACACTCCTAGCCCCCGGTTAGGCGAGGGTGTAGGGGTGGGGGGTAGTGAGAGAGTGAAAGGAGAGGGAGGAAATGGGGAGAAAGATGGAGTGGAAAAGCGAGAAGGGGAGAGAGAGGGAGGGAGAAGATACCTCGGCAAAACAACTAGGGTCAGAGGCCCCAATTGTCTACATGCAAATCTGAGCTCTGCCACTTCCTATCCATGGGCCTCCACCTGTAAAGTGTTCTCATCTGTAAGACACAAACTGTGCCTACTTCACTGGGTTATGATGAAGGCTGAGTTAATTCACAAACAATGTTGTACAGTGCCTACATCTACTAAGCACCTGGAAAGCTATACTCAAGTCCTGTATTAACAATCAGAAAAGGGGAAGAAGAAAACCAAGATGTGTAAAGGCGGCGGGTGAGGGTAGCAGAATGGCACAAATGGAAAAGGGCAACGCCCACGGAAAAAATCACAGTGAGATTCAGATTCACAGGAACCTGATTTTCCTAAAGCAGAGGTTAATAAATTTTTTGAAAAAGGGCCAGCTGTAACTAATCTGTGCTTTGGGACTACTGCTTTTCGCGTATCTGTCTCAACTACTCAAATCTGGGACTGTTATTGCAAAGCAATCTTAAGTCTTAAGTGATATACACACAAAAGGTGTGGCCATTTTCCAATATGCCTTTATTTGTAAAAACAAATAGTAGGGCAGTTTGGCTCCAAGAGCCAGTCTGTAGGCCTTTCTTATAAAATAATTATCTGGTGATTCTTACACAGGCAGACTTCTAAAGTTGTTGGTCTTCTAAAACAACAGGCATAAAAAGGCTCCTCACCTCATAATGAATACTTCATTAATTAGATGAAGTAAAGTTGTAGGTGGAACTAATTATTTTCACCTTGGGTATTATCAACAGGTGTTGTTTGTGGCATTTCTAATTATCAGTACAAATTGAGACAAACATCTCCTTGTGCAAATCACCATGGGTGCCACTGGCTTGGCTAATCCTTCCGAAAAGAAACACTGGTACATATAGGTGAATCATCTAGCTGAATCATAAGGACAAATGAAAGAGCCAGGCTGGCTTCTTGCATCTGGAAAACAACAGTATTGGAAACCCTACATGTTCTCAGTCAAGGATGTGAGGCTTCTGGACTGACTTGCTTTCACCCTGGCTACAGACCAGTGCTCCTCAGAACCTCCTCAGACACACCATGGGCACCCAGAAGAAGCGCCAACTCCATGAACTAGGTGTCCTTTCCACCTTGACCTGGATTAAGACTGGGACAGAAACCTGCTCACATAGGAATCTTTAATACAGAAACACTATCTCCCCCAGTCCTCCGGTTCATTTGTTTGTTCATTCTTTCTTCCTTTCTTTTTTGAGACAAGGTCTCCACAAGGTCTCAGCCTAGCCTTGAACTGACCAGAGAGGCCAAGCTGGCCTCAAACTCATGGCAATCCTCCTGCCTCAGCCCCTGGACTGCTGGGATTACATGAGTGAGCCAGCATGCCTGGCCCCTCTGGCTCTTTCTTAACCAACCCACCCACATCTACTCAATTCCAAAACTACCTGGTGAGTGTGTGATGTCACACATATGTGTGACCTCATGGCTGCCAGGCTGACTGATGTGTGCTGAGCTCAGGATACTAGAGGAACTGGTCAGAGATAAAACAAGATTAACTGGGGATTTTGAGAGACTAGAGGCCAAGTCAGTCATCTTGGATGGTGTCTGAACAGAGGGAGTGTGTGTGTAAACTGCGTCTCCAGAGACAAGCGGGGCAGCCATGAAAGATGATGCATAAAGAGCGTCTACTGATGTGAAAAAATGCCCTTGACAGAGGAATGAAGTGAAAAAAACCCACACAAGAAATTGGTCACATAGTATAAAAATTAGTGAAAAAGAAAATAAAAAGCACAGAAAATTTTTCAAGGAAACTCTTCAAATGTGAAGAGTTTTGCTTCCAGCTCCTGAAGTTGAGTGATTTGGGGTTTTTTGTTTATTGTTTTCTACTTTCTTTTATTTTCTATATTCATTAAGTTCGTAAACACAGGGCAAACGTGATCAGGTGGGATCCAAGCAAGTGGAGATACGAAAGAGGAAGAGGTGGAAGAGGACGAGGAGAAGGAGGAGAAGGAGGAGGCCAGAGTCACCCGGCAGGATCCACAGCCAAGGTAAAGTCCTCTGAGGTTACTAAGATGGACTTGAGAAGAAACACCCACAAGATGGTCAGCATCCCACCGCAGAGCTCCCATTTGCCAGCTTCACGACACTTTTTCTGTGTGTGTGTGTGTGTGTGTGTGTGTGTGTGTGTGTGTGCGCGCGCGCGCGCGCGCGTAGTTCCCTGACCAAGAGGCACAGGAGCACTATGAGCAGAAACTGAAAGTGACTTAAGCAGAAATACAGACTGAAAAAGGCAACAAGAAATGGGCTTTCAGGCTGGGGAGCAGCCTCGTAAGTGCAGGATCCTGGGTTTGATCTTGAGTACTGAAAACAGAAAAAAACAAGAGGTTTTTCACCTGAGACGAAAAGGAAGATGACCCATCTGTGAAGTGCACAGACATGCCCAAGGGTCACACTTGCCACCTTCACACAGAGCATGTGGCCCCCTCTGCTTAACCAGTAGGGACTCCAGATGAGTACAAGACAGGGTCATCCAGAGGCTTCGTCTACAGCCAGCTGCCCCACTCCAGGGACATCTCCTTCACCCTCCGTCTCACAACCCAGATCTGGGCCTCTCCCTGCCTCATCCCACCTACACGAGGGGCAATGACCCTCCCCACGAACTGTCCACAGCACTGTTCATAAACACTTGTCTGCGCTCCCTTGGGGAGGTCGCACTGCATTCCTGGGATGTCCCAGGATGGTGCCAGTTTTGCAGAACTTTATCCGCTTCAGTGGAAAGAAACATCCTTGGCAAAATGTCCACTGAACATGATTTTATGCATCACCTAAGTAATTTCACAAACACCAAAAACTGTTGATGACAACTGTCCTGACTGCACATGGACAATATATGCCACATAGTGCACTCCACAATACCAGTCTTTGCAGAGCCAAAACACATGGAAGGAAAGAGGGGACAGGAAGTGGGAGAGAAAGTGTAGTGGCCCCAATTCACCACATCCTCTTTCTATTCCAGGAATAACTGCCTGCCTAAGAAGGCGGATACAAGGCGTTTCAGTGCGCTTTGCATCCCTGCAGCCAAAAGGCAACACAGCATGGAAGAAAGAGATGCACTACGTGATCGACAGAAATGGGGTGCAACCCTGAGGTTGCCACCTGGAAGCTGGGTGATCTTGAGCAAGTTGTTTAACCTTTTAGAGCTTCTTCATTCTAAAAGTCAGTTTGGTTGGAAAAACCACACAGCATTTGTAGGGGACTCAGAACAGAGCCTAAGACATGGCAGGCATTCAAAAATAGAAATGCAAGAGCCAGGACTGGTGGCATGTGCCTGGAGTCCCAGCTTCCCAGGAGACTGAGGCAGGACTGACTGAGCCCAGGATTCAGGGCTGGTCTGGGAAAAATAGACAGTGCCCATGGGAAGAAAGAAAGCAAGAAAGCAAGCAAGCAAGAAAGAGAGAGAAAGAAAA